GTATGTGGGATCCGAACCCTCGGCGGGAGCGCCGCTGCGCTCCCAAGCGGCGCACTGTAGCTGTGCGCCACCGGGCCAGCCCGGCATGTGAAGTTTTAGAGAAGAAAACATCTGAATCAAGGAAGAGAAAAAATAATAGTTATAAAATAATTACTACACACAAACCCTATGCTCAGACTTTTTTAAATAAAGTTTTTATTATAAAAATTATATAGGTCCACTGGAGAAAATAAGGGTATACAAAAAGTAAACATACAGGTATAAAAGTTGAATCATACTATGTAGACCTTTTGTAACTAGTACCTAATTGTTCCTAGGTAGGTATATTTCTTTAAATCATATTCCATTTTCGTGTCATTAGGATTACTACTTAATGGTATTGTTAAAGCTAATGCTCATCTATTTTTTTAAAGGTGTAACTGAATAGATTACAGTATTGCTGCCTTCTCTGTGTTCTCAGATAAAGGCACAAGGAGGACCTGGTCATAATCTATGCAACACTCTTCACCTGATAGCAACAGAGGACTTATGCAGAGAAGGGCAGAAATGAACAACCTGGGAGTAACCCCCACATGATAAAATAGAACAATCAATGTCCCACAGGCGAGTGGAGTCCACGGCAAGGCACAAACCTCGGTACCACTAGGTATCCAAAGGCAAAGCTAAAAATAATATAAAACGCCAGCATGATAAAAGCTTTCATATGTGCAGGGTCATTTAAAGGTCATTATGGACAAAGGCTCCGTCCTCACTGTCATGGGTAGTTTCCATGGGAGCCAAAACACACTTCTTAGTTTCAAGAGGCTAACACTTGTATTAGAAACCTTTAATGGGAAACACAGCCACCTTATCAGGATTCAAAAAAATATTCACCTCCTTTGTATTTACAACTCCATTTTGAGGACACTTCTTAAAAACCACTATGGGTAATCAAACAACACAAGAACACATCCACTCGAATTTATGCAGAGAAAGAAGAAATAAAAGCAAGACGTCAAATTACTAACAGTGATCATTTTGGAATGTTGGGAGGATCTTTCTCTGTGTGTGTGTGTGTATATACACAAATATATATACCTGACCTATACTTTCCAACTTTTTAAAAATCAACCATTACTGCTGTAAAGAAAAACTAAGCATACACTCTTTTTAAATGCATCATGATCTGGAGGTGGTGGGAAAACAGGAGCGCAGGACGCTGATGGAGGAAAGGCTAGAGGAAGGACCCCCTGTGATAACCCTCATGACCCATTCCATCCCTCAGGCCCACTCCACACTGTGCTTCTTGCATTTTACCATTTTAGATACTCTGTATTCTCCATTTTGTAGTGGTCCTTTGCTTAAATGAGTACAATTTTGACCAGAGAAAAGAAAACACACTGATGGACTGAACTGTTCACCATGTGTCAGTGTCAAGGAAAAGAACCCCCGACTCTACATCTGTAGTCCCTGTCACCTTGTACTTGGGCAGTGTGATGGGGGAAAAAGAGACAGGAGTTCAAATCTGGACTCCAGCCCCTTACAAGGTGTCTGATCTCTCTAAGGCCCACTTTCTTTACCTATAAAATGAAAGTGATGACTACACCACACAGTCGATGTGAAAATGAAAGGAGATTAAAGGACTCAAGTGCCTGAGTCCTCACAAAACACACTCAGCAAACATAAGCTCCCACCCTTCTCCCTGATTCCCTTGCCTCATGCCAGGTATTTAGATGTTGATGCCTCTTTGCTTCATATTGAAGATGAGGGTCCCTATCCCTGGGATGTAGTAGAGCATAAACCTGTGGGTTCTGGAGTCAGACACACCTGGAACCAGACTCCAGTGACATCACCTAATGGTCACGTCATCTTGGACATGTTTGCTCAAGCTTCTGCCATTTATAAAAGCAGTTACTACATCATATCAGGCAGGATGTGGGTGGAAACAGACAGCACACTCAACCTGGGTAATGCAAGGAAAACTTAATCACAAAAGGACTCTTTTCTGAAGTGTATGCAGAATTAGGAGCAGTAAAAAAAGCTGTGTGGTACTCCAGGACAGCAAGAGTTGGGTGCTGTTACCATCTCATGACTGGAAGGGCCAAGGCCAGCGCTGCTGGAATCCAAAAAGGGTTCACTGTATGAGTAAGGCTACCTGGCAGGAGCAGCAACCTTCAGCAGAGGGACACAGCCCATCTGTGGCAACCCACAGGATGGAAACAGGGAACAATCTCTCAACCTTGCTCTCCTCCTGACCATGGATGTCCTGGCAGGGCGCCCCTCTGGCCAACCCTGCTCTCCTCCTGACCATGGATGTCCTGGCAGGGCGCCCCTCTGGCCAACCCCCATGGAAGC